ATTGCCCAGGGTCACAAAGCTAGTAAATGTCTGAGGCAAAATTTGCACTCAGCTCTTCCTGCCTCCAAACCAGTCACTGTCTGCACTGTGTCACCTAGGTCCCTCGTCATTTCTCCAGCTTCCTTCAGGACTCAGCCCAGATTCCACCTTGTGCCAGAGGCCCGCTCAGTGCCTCCCCTGGGAGAACGCTTCCTGTCTGCTCTGTCTGGCTCACCGAGGTTCCTCACTATTTCCATGGGGTTTTCTCCACTAGATTGTGAGCTCTTGGAGGGCAGGACTGCTCCCCAATCGGGTCTGACTTTGGGGGGCTCTGTGGTCCCCACTGTCCATGGGGTTTTCTTGACAAAGATACTGCAGCATTTTGCCCTTTCCTTCTCCATCTTGGCATGTGGTGGGTGCTTACAACATCCCTCCTGATGGGTTCTGTGACTGCCATCTTTGTACCCTTAATGTCCAGCATAGTATCTGGTCCGTGGAAGTTTCTTAATAAATGTTGGCCAGCTTGATTGGAGGTTTCAAAGAGGTAAATTGTGACTTAATGATGAACATGCTGTTATCATGCCTACTGTGTGCCTGGTATTGTGCACACAGTAGGGATCCAAAGGCAGAAATTCCATAGGGGGAGGCTGCACGTACATCTAGATATGTACAAAAATGCAGGGCAATTGGGAGCTGGGAGGAGCCAGGAAAGGCCTTATGTAGAAGACAGTGGTGAAGCTGGTGCTTCTAAGAGGTAGAGGTGAAGAGAGGGCACCTTCTAGGGAATGGGAGGGCAGGAGGGAGGCACAGCCTGTACAAAGACACGGAGGCCAGAGATGGCATGTCTTCCATCATTCATTCAACAAGGATTTATTATGGGCCTGCTCTGTGCCGGACACTGTGCTGTATGCTCGGGATCTAAGTGCAAGAATGAAACGACCTCTGGCCTTAATGGGTGCACAGCCTAGTGGGGGACAAGAAGTAGTAAGTACATCTAAACCAGATACAGCATAAGAAAGATGAGTGTGTGCATAATACCACATATGTGAGTCTGGACTGTGGCAGGCCAAAGAGCCACTAATACCCAGTGGAGCCTGGAAAGTCGAGTGGAGTCAGGCCATGGAGGGTGTCACCAGCTAAACAGAAGAGTTTATCCTGGATGCAAGAGGTGTGGGAAGCCCCCGGGCTTCAGGAAAAGTCCTATGGCAATAACGTGTAGAGTGGGCTGGGCCAATGAGACCCATGAGGAGGCCGTTCCAAGGGGAGAGGGTGGCCTGAGCTTAGCTGGTGAGTAGAGAGATGCAGGAGGGAATGTGAGAAATAGAAATGCGGGCTCTGGCCACTGATTGGCTGCAGCCAGAAGGAGAGCTGGGAGAGGATGGCGTGGCCCACGCCTGAACTCCAACATGGAGGCGTGGGCGGGCCTCACCTGTGGGAGAGGGCCACTGTTGGGCTAGTGGAGGGTTCGGGGCTGAGCACATCTGGAGAGTCCGACGTGGAGCTGGAGAGGAAGGAGAGATGGGGTCTCAGCAAGGGTGTGTTTGAAGAGAACAGGGAAGGAACCAGCTAGAGGGGATGATCGAGAACACAGTCTGCAGGAGAAGGCAGGAGGCAGCGGATGAAGGGATTGGCCTGGTCCAAGACAAAGGGCCATCTCATTGTCAGGGGCGAGGGATGGCAGATGGGGCTACATCGAAGGAATGGGAGAAGAGGCAGCTCACCGCCATCTTCTTCTCTTTTAGTCAATGGGCCAAGTGCTCAGTTGAGAGAGAAGAAGGGGCAGGTGGGGACTTCAGGAGGGGGGGAGAAGATTGGGAGGAGCTTCTCTGCGGAGGAATAAAAGGGCTGCCTTGCTGCACTGTGGGCCCAGGGAGAACGGAAATGGAAATTTGGTCTGTGCATGGTTGGCACTGTCTCCTCTGCTGGATTGCCCTCCAGGCCGTGCCCTCCAGCTCTCTCCTGGGCTCTCTTCTCCTCTCCATCTCCATTATTCCATGCACCAGCTCCCATGGCTTCAGGGATCACCTCTAGGCTGATGATCCACATCTCCAACTGTACATCCAGGTGACATCTTGAGCTCGACATGTCCGAAACAGAATTCCTTCTCTTTCCCTCTATGGCCCCTTCCCATCTTCTTTCTTACTGTAGAGGCAACACCCTCCTCCCAGATCCTTAAGCTCCCCACCGAGGAGTCACCCTGGACTCCTCACTCTCTCACCATGCCCCCCCCCTCCCATATCCAATATGGTGCCAAGGCCTGGCAGAGATGCTCATTTGGGAGAAAACTACCAGGAAGAAAAGTGATTGGGTCCTTCCTTGGAGTCAAAGCCCATGGGGCCAGTTAGGGGCGGAAAACAAACTGGAGACTGTGAGTACAGATGACTCCACCTCCTGCCAGAAAGGGTCGCTCTCATTGCTGAGGATTACCTTTTCCCCACGATGCAACAGAGACAATGGAAGCAGGCTGCCATTTTGATGTGAGTCAGCAGTGTGAGGGGGCCTCCCAGCTAATGGTATCTGGGCTGAGCAGACCTGAGAGAGGAGAGATGGAGCCCCACCAGCCTCTGCCCCAGCTAGTCCCCACTGGGAGAACCATCTTCAGGCTAAGAAGGGACATGGATAAACCATGAGAGGCAGCAGCTGTGGCATCATGGATGGAAAACCCCAGTCCAATTCAGAAAGACCATGGGTGTGTCTTGCCTTTGACCCACATTGGCTGTGTGACCCTGGGCAAGTCAGGTAGCATGCCCCAGGCAATTTTTATCCCCAGAACCTGCCAAGGAAGGGGTTCTTCACCCATCCTGACTGCCACTGCCCCCAGACTCCAAGGGCTAAGCCAGAGACTATGCAGGAGGTGGCCAAGCCCCCATGCCTGAAGGAACAAAGACCTGGTGGTGAGGGGGCAACAGGCTGACTTTGGATACCCTAGAGGCTGCCATGAGGGAAAGGGGCTGCTCTGACACTTTGGTGGTGATGGGGTTGGGATCTGAACCCCAGAAAGGAAAAACCTGGACTTTCCCACATGGCCAAAGCCTGAGGCTATAATCCCATCCACTGGCCTTTCATTGTGGCTACACCCAGTCTCCCAGTTCTTTGTTACCCTCACCTAGCCTAGCCCTCCATAGTCTTACCTCCCTATGGCTCCAGCCATTTCCCACCCTTAATCCTAGCTAGGCTCCATTATCCCTCGGCCACATGGTCCAGGTCCCAGGTGTTCTGTTCACACCAGCTTATTGGCCACTCCCATTCAGATCTTCCTTAGACCCCCTCCTCCAGTCACCCTAAATTACTTGCCCACTCCTAGATCCCTCCCACAGTATTTCTGTGCACAAGGTCCATCTTGTCTCCATTAAAGTACTCAGATTCTTAAAAGCTAGCCACTGTTCATATTACAATCTAGTCAATAGATCACTAATGTTCAGACTCCTTAAGAGTCTGCCCAATATGACAGATGTTCTAATAAACCTTGTCTTTGGCTGAAAGAAAGCTTGGGTCAAATTCTTTCGGACAGGACCTGCATATTGTGATTTTGGGGTCCCAGCACCCCTAAACCTCAGCAGTGGGACCAGGAGCCATGAGGCTGCAGAGAGGACAGTGGAGACTTGACAGCAGGAAACCTTCTTAATGATGTAATAATCTAATGATCAATGTCCTACTAGCCCCACTGCCCCAGGAATAAAGGCAGGTCCCTAGCCCTGGAGGGAGGGCTCCAAGCCAAGACCCCACAACTCCTTCTAAGGTTCAGCTGTTCAGGCGCATCACCCTGGGTGCCTCTGAGTCCCCTGGGAACGCTGAGCTCCAGTCCACACTGATTTATGGTCCCATCATCCAGTCAGTCAGCAAGTGCTTCCGAAGGCCTTACTGTGTGCCAGGTACTAGGGGGAACCAGCTCACAGAGGGGGTGATAACAATGACATTATAAAATATACTCTGACGAATGCAGAGAGATGATGGTGAGGGGAAGCTGTCTACCCACCTGCTGCCAGAGAGGTGGCGGACATAGTGTTGGACAAGGCCCATGTAGGACTGGGTTTGGCTGGAATGTATATTCCTCACAAGGTGGGACAGATGGGAAGAAGAAAGAAATGTTTGATAAATGAGAAAATTAATTTAAAAAAACCTGCTAGCACAATAGTCAGTGTTGTAAAGGCAGAAACAAGGGGCCTTGGCACCATATTGGATCTGGGGGTTGAGAGAGTGAGGGATGAGCTCAGCTCTAGAGAGGGAGGGGGGCTTTTCTATTTCTAGGTCTTTGATCCTAAGTCTTCCCCCCACCCCTTCCCAGCCCCTTCCCTTGACCGCCCCTGGCCAGGATGAGCTCAGCCCCTGGGAGGAAAAAGGGGTTCTCCCAGCGCTGAGATCCAGGTCCCCCTCCCCCCACCCCATGAGCTCAGTCCCAGGTGGGGGGAGTGAAGGAGGTTCGCTTTCAGCCCTAGAGATCTGAGATCCGGGGTCCCCCTTCTTCCCACCCTATCCTAGCTCCCCTCTTCAGCCAGGATAAACTCAGCCCCTGGTGGGGGAAGGGGAGAGGAGGGGGTGCTCTCCTAGTCCTAGGAGTCTGAGTTCCAGGGTCCCCCTTCGTTCTATCTAAATATCCTAGCTGTGCCACCCCCACCCCCACTCCCCGGCCAGGATGAGCTCAGCCTAATGCGGAAAAGGGAAGGGGCACTCTCCCAGATCTGGATCTGCGGTCTCCCTTCCTCCCACCCCTTCCTAGTCCCACCCCCGCCCCTCCCCCGGCCAGGATGAGCTCAGCCTCCGGTGGGGGAGGGGAGGGGCGGGGCGTTCTCCCAGCCCTAAACATCCATCTGTGAGCGGGGTCCCCCTCCCTCCCATCCCATCCTAGCCCCTTCCAGGCCAGGATCAGCTCAGCCCCTGGTAGGGGCAGAGAAAAAGGCTCGCTCCCAGCCCTAGAGATCTGAGATCTCGGGCCCCTTTCCTCCCACCCCTTCCTAGCACCGCCCCTGTCCCTCCCCCGGCCAGGATGAGCTCACTCGCCTGGCCCCGCCCCGGGTGGGCAGGGCGAGCCCTGGGCGTCCAACTCTGCCGTCAGGCTGCGGGCACAGAGGGCCCCAAGATCTGGGACCGCTGTGGGCGGCCGCTCCTTCACCTTCCCCCCACCCCTCAGCCCGCTTCCCCCTGCCCCGCCTGCCCGGTGGCTGCTCGGTGCCTGCAGGCGGGCCCACGCACGGAGGCCGGTTCTTGCGCTCCTGCGGCTGCGAGCCCAGCCCTGACCAGGCCCAGGCCAAGCAGATCAGGCCGAGGGGCCGGCATGGCCAGCGGCGGGCCCGGCGGCGGCCAAGGGGGCGCGGCGGGAAAGGTGCGCCGTGGAGTCCCGTGCGCCCTGGGCCGGGCCCGCCTGGGCTCGCTGCGCTCCCACCAGTGCGTGCTGCTGCTTGCCGGGCTGCTGGCCGTGTGCGCCTTCTATTACATGGGCTCCTGCCGCGAGACCTTCTCCAGCGCCACGCGGAGGCTCAAGGAGAGCCGGGCAGGAGGCACGTCCGGGCCCGCCCCGGCCCCTGCCTCAGATGCCCCCCTGGCGCCCGAGGCGAAGGCCAAGCCGGCCGACGGCCTGTCCGCCGGGGCAGCCGAGCTGGACTACCACGTGCTGATGATGTTCACCAAGGCCGATCGCAGCCCTGCGCTGCAGGCCAAGGGGCGCACAGCCCTGTGCTCGCTGCTGAGCCTCGCCAAGCTGGACGAGCAGGAGGTACTCAACGTGCACTTTGTCAGCGAGGAGGCCAGCAAGGAGATCGCCAAGAACCTGCTCCGAGAGCTGCTGCCCGGGGTGACCTTCAAGTACAAGGTGAGCTGTCGGGCTGGGCTTCGCACGGGCCGAGCGCGGGATTGGGAGCTCAGCGGCCGCGGCAGCCCTGGGACACCTGCGGATCCACGCCGCTTTTAGCCTCGGCGCTCCCGGAACCTGCGGGCTGCGAGTGGCAGCGTGTGGGTCAGGGTTGAGGGTCCAGTTGGCCTTGGCCTGAGGGTCACACACACCGGGCAGTCTGCTGCAGTAGGGGGACCGACTCTGAGAAATGCTACCAACTCTGGCCCCCAAGCCAGGAGCCCCATCCTGAGTCCCAAACACTGTAGGGTCGGGGCTTCAGGACCGGGGTTTGGAACGTTCTTCTCACTCTGCCCAGTGCTGGCAGATACTTCTTCGAAAGGACAGTTTAGTTGTGAAACGTCAGTTCCTTCTTCTTGAAGAGCTGTACGTGTGGTGAGTGAGAAGGCTCAGCAAGCCGCCTTCTGACCACGCAGAGGGCCTTGTGGGGATGGGACTTCTGTGACCGCGGAGTCACCCTAGTGCTTGAACAAGAGGTCCCTACCCCGCTTACCCCACAGGGGTTGCTGTAGGGCCAGCCGCAGCTCCCGGCTCCCTCCTCCTGCATGGCCTGAACCAAAGACCCATCCCTCTTTCCCTCGAGGCCTTACCATCCTTCCAGATACCAAGGTTGACACTCTTCCCTCCGGGATTATCGAAGTAGCGTTTTATTTGGGCTCCTGGCCCCCAGCCTCACCCACCCACCCTCCACTGAGCTATCCAAGGGTTTTCTACAATGTGGTTCTGGCCTTGTCATTCTGCTGCTCAGAAGCCTCTGTGCCTTGGTGTGCTGTTTACCCCTCCATGGGGAAGAGGAGCCAGCCTTCCCTTGGGGTGCAAAGCCCTTCTTCCCCCTCGTTTCATTTATAGGCAACTGAGTTGAGATTTGTGTGGTTCCATTCTTTCTGGAACCTGTCCCTACATTGGCCTTCGGGCAGGGATCTCTGGAGGGTCAGAGCCAAGGGGAATGCCATAGATGGTCTAAGAAGGGTGGGATTCCTTGCACCCTCTGGGCCCTTTGTGGCCACCCCATTCCCTCATGGCAGAAGTTAGGCCGGGTAGCAAGTGTTTTATTAAGCCCTGTGCTAGTGGCCAGTGATGCAAAGGTAGGTAAGAAACACAGTCCTGCCCTCGAGGAGCTTCCAGTCTATGGAACAGCTGGAGACAAGCCAGCTACTTAAGTGGGCAGACATCTCCGAGGAAAGTCTGAGAAGAAGAACGGGTTGCATGTCCCCATTTGGGGGATGTGTCCGTCTTTGTCCTCTGGGGAGAAACCACTTCCCATCCAGGGCGAGCTGTGAGCAAGGCTTTTTACCTATCCTGCGTTTGCCCAGTGCCTGGAACATAGTGAGGGTTTCACAAATACGTGTTGTGGGACTGACTGTTTTTGTGGTTGGTACCTGGGCTCCAGCCGCATGTTAGGGTTGGTAGGCAGCTGGGGGGATAACAAAGCAGAGCTAAAAGGAGGGTACTGTTAGTAAGTCATTCATTCATTCAATAAGCATTTATTAAGCACCTACTATGTGTCAGGCACTGTGCTAAGTCAGTGGGATACAAAGAAAGGTACCCCTGCCCCAACAAACCAGCCCACCCACCTGTCCGTGCTCTCAAGATGCTAATCCCAGATAGAAGAGACTTCTGGGGCCACTGCTTACAATTTGTCAGGGGCCCAGAATCCTCAATATAAGACCCCAACGGGTGGTCAGGTGACCTTAGCTGGGCAGGTCTGATTGTTAGGAAGGCTTTCCTGACTCTGCACGTTATCACATGTTACCATATCTGTCCGACCTTAAAGCCTTCCATGAATGCCAGCTATTGCTATTAAGAATGAATTTTAAGAATGAATTTGCTCCTGGGCTCCTTTTTGTTCTGCCTTCGAGACCCAAGCAGACCCCAAGTCTGGTCCCACCTTAGCAGGGTGGTCCTTCCCATCCTCAGTAACACCAGGATGACAACCATAATCCCAGCTAACACTTCTCTAGCACCTCCTATGTGCCGGCACAGTGCTGAGCACTTTGGAATATTACATTGTTAGGTCCGTACCACAGCCCTGCCAGGTAGGTGCTGTGAATATCCCTGTCTCACAGATGAGCAGAAGTTTAAATGTCTTGCTCAGGGTCACACAGCCAGATTTGAACTCAGTTCTTGCTCAGCTCTCTGTCTGCTGCAGGGCAGCTCTCGTGACCCTGAGGAGTCGCTTCTTTTCCAGTTTAAATAGCTGCTGTTCCTTCAGACATGATCTCAAGGTACTTTGGAAGCTATGTCCTTTGTAAAGCATGGCCCCAGAATTGACAGTGCTGCTCCAGGCGTGATCGGGGCATAGAGCAGTGGGACTGTCATGAACCTCATTCTGGACCCAGTGATCTGAAGCTGCTCTCCCAGAGGGTGGTGACTGTGCTCAGGGCTCTAGGGGTACTCCTGAGGGGTTGGGGGCCATCTTTCTATTCTCTCTAGCTCATCAGCCCCACGAGCTTCCCACCGGCATTATCAGCTGAAATCCATGAGCCTGATTTAATTGGCTGTTAGGAAAGAGCATTTACCACAGTAGTGTAGCTGTATTTCCCCCAAACATCCCCCAAAAGTCTGTGACACTCTCTCCCACCAGGACATCCAGAATCCAAGACAAAGTCAACCTAAGCTTAGAGATCCCACATAGCAGAGGGTATAGCCTTTTCCCTAAGTGCATGGTGTAGTGGCTTCTACTGGCCTCTTGGTAAAGAAAGCCTTGAGTCTTTGTCCGGCTGTCTCTGGCTCCCAAAACGCACCCTGCTGTGAGCCCTGAGGATGGTCCTAGGAGATGGAAATTCCAAAGTCCTCTGGCCCCCCAGAGTTCTTGAGGTCCCCTTTGGGAAAGCCTGGCTCTGCTCTCTCTCCTCCCCCTCTGCCTCCCCACTCAGTGTTTAGCTAGGATGCTTTCTCTTCTCCACCTGACTCAGATTTGAAGCAGAAGAAGGTCACACCACACGAAGGTGAACATCTGTCAGTCTGTGACTCTTGCCACATAGCCCAGAAGGTTGGCCACTGCCACCGCAGCTGCACCAGAACATCTTAGCTTTGAGACAGTGGAGGGAGTGGCCCTTAGCGAGCTTTGGAAGGGTTGACCACTCTACCCTCAGCTTCCAGGGCTAGACCTAGCCTTGTGTGCAAGGTAGGCGACCTTGCTGACCCTGTGACCTGGGGCCTCTTTCTCTGAGCAAAGTGAGGTCATTGAAGAGATGACGATAGAACTGTGGACTTGGGTGGTGGGTGATGACCTGTTTTGTTTCCTGGCTGACTGGCTGTCTTGGACCTTAGGAAGATGAATTAGATTGAGGCAGTGGGGGTCCCGTGGGTTATTTAAAGTCCCTGCCTGACATCTGCATAGCTAGAACCCTGAGCCACTCCCACCCTCCACAGGTGAAGAGACTTTTGCTTCCTGTGATTATTTTAATTCATCATGGGGGGGACCAATGCCTCCCCATCTCAAATCTAGCATAGACAAAATCTATCCGACGTGATTTTGAGAGGAGGGGTGCTAGCAGCCGAGGAGAACTGCATGGACTGGGTGCTGCCTGAGCAGAGATGTGAAGGTTGGCGTGGGGAGAACAGCATCTATCACCTGTGTGTGGAGGGACAGTGCCAGGTGCTGGCGGGCTCCCTGGCTCCATTTCTGTCTGTCTGGATGTTAGAATCATCGATTTTGAGCTTAGGGATTGTAAGGTTCCTGTATCTCTTAATAGGTCAAAGAACTTGGGCAATATTTTAATACTCACCTCCTATACTTACCTCAACAGGCTTCGGACATCTCCGGCACCAGCTTCTTTAAGCTGGAGAACACCCCCCACAGAACACACAGGACAAAACAACTTTCAGTAGCTCCTCTTTATTCTTCCTCTCTTCTACCTCTACTCCTCCCTCTCCCTCCGTTGCTCTTTACTTATCTATTTTCTCCTCGTGAGCTCCAAATAAGCTCCCATTGGTCACCCTTTCTTACCTCTGCCCAGGCAAGCCACTGTACGCCGCCCCGAAGATCTTGGCCTCGTGAGGAGCGCGTATCAAGAGTAGTGCTGACCAATCACTTACCCAGGATCGCCTCCTTCACCTCATGTCTTTTACATGATACCAGAGGTCCTCAGGCGACTACTTGCATTCCCTTAGGCTAAAGGCGGCAGGGGAGTCCGGGTCAGTCGGAACACACCCTACAAGGGATCATCTTAGACATCATTTTTCTGGGGAGGGAAGGGAATAGACTAGGTCACCCAGGCAATAAGGGACAGCACCGGGATTCGAACCCAGGTTTCCTGACTAGACCCAGCACTCTCTGGTCTCCCAGCTTACTCCAGACTCTTTGTGCATCTGTCCCACTTTGTGGCTTCTCCTGCCCGTGGTTTGTGCTGACTGGGGCTGGAGGATCCCTAAACAGGAAGAATACAGCTGCCAGGCTCCATCCCCGGGGCAAAGAGCTGGGCTTTGTGGCAACCAGTCCCTGCCCAGAGGACAGAGACCTGGGTCCCAAGGGCTCTCTGCCCGTCTGCTGCTGCTCTTGCTGCTGACCCTCCCCCTCCTGCTGCTTCTCAATGGGGAAGGGATTTGGGAATGGTTGGTTTTATGGCTGGTGCTTGATGGGAGTCGCTCCCAGTGTGGAAACTACCTCCGGCGATGCAGATTGGCAGCTGCCATCCTCAGAGTAACTCGAGGCACCGAGACACCCAGTGACTTGGGGGAGAGGGGGGTCACAGCCACGATGGGTCAGAAGCAGGCTCGGACCCATGTCACCCTAGTTCCAGGCTGCCTTTCACAGTGGCTCATAGAAAACAGTCTGAGTAGACAGAGGAAGGTGCTCTGGAACAGGGTTAGCGTGGGTTTGCTGTGTCCATGTCATGGGTTAGTAGCTTTGCTGGGTCAGTGGCTTTGCTGCGTCTGTGGCCATGGATTGTGTGACAGGTCAGTGGCCTCTGTGAACATGGCACTCGCTATTCGTCCCTCCAGCCATCTGGGACGCT